ACGGACCCATCAGTGTATATCTGCGTTCGGTCTAAGTACAATTCATGTAATAATAGCAGTGTTGCTTGCTTCAATGCTACTCTGGAGTGATTGCTTTTCTTTTTGATTCCCGGAATTTCTAGACGTACTTGCGGCTGGTCGAGGCACCACAAAAGACATGCCATTCTCGTCAGGTGCCGCTGTAATTCCGGCTGCAGCAATGACAATCAACTTTAAGTTGTCGCATATGACTACATCTACGGCATCAGGGCTTGCTGCTATAAGGGCTGCTTTACAATATCTCGTTCAAGAACGTCCAGGAAAATGGGTCATATTCTGTGATTCGAAGGCAGCACTTCAGAGTTTGCAGTCTGCCATGCGTAGGAGGAGTCATGACCAATTGGTACAAGAAATAAGACATTGCCATCATGAAGCTCTAGCACGAGGGCATGATATTATATATCAATGGCTGCCTGGACATATCGCTATTACCGGAAATCAATTAGCCGATGATGCAGCCCGCTCAGCCCGTGAAGGAACCCATGAAGTCCCGATTCCTCTATCAAATAATGATGCAGCAAGACAACTTTACCTGCTGGCTCGAGATCTCACACGCACGTTCTGGTCGTCTACCAGCTTCCAAAGGTGTCAATTTTATGAACTGGATCCTTCGCTCAAGCTAAAGCTACCATCACAACTTTCCCGCTCCGATGCGACACTGTTATGCCGCCTTTGGTTGGGTGTTGCATTCACAAAGGTGTACTCCTTTGGCATTGGTATGGCAGACACTCCTACATGCGACTACTGCGGAGCTGAAGAGACTATCGAACACGTCCTGTGCAGCTGCGCTTGCTACGATACACAGCGATGCCAGCTCCGGATGGTTCTGAATCAACTTGACCCCGGACCATTTTGTGTGCAGAAGATAGGACCTTGGGCATCTGCCTCTGTTGCGCAGAAAGCAACTAAAGCACTGCTACTTTACCTAAAGTCAACAAACCTGAGGGACCGCCTGTAGACTGTGTGTGCTCCCAGAGTGTGCTCCTGATTGTGTGTACCTTCTCATCTTTCTGCAACCTCTTTTCTCCCCTTTATCCCTTCCCCAGTGCAGAGTAGCAAACCGGATGTGCGTCTGGTTAACCTCCCCGCCTTTTCTTGCATCTTTATCTCTCTCTCTCTCTTTCATATTACTGGTCAAGTCATTCTGCAGATCTCAATTGGCGCCTTCGGCCCGTCTGTTGTCCCGTTTGGTATATAGATTGGTATATAGATTTAGCAGACCAACGCTGAGCAGTATACGATATGCCCAATTTCCGTGGCACACATCCGTTCATGACGATGTCTTCCGTAGAGAGAGAGAGATAGACTTTATTAATTTCCGGCAGATTGCTGAGATGGGCTCCCACCTAGGGGCCAACGGAGAGACCGTGTCTCCCGGCAGCTTCCTTGGCCTGCTGGATCGCCCAAAGTTGTTTGTCCAGGCCCGAACTGAGCAGCGCACTCCGCCAACGCGCCCGAAGGTCTTCATTGGAGGCCGCGACCTCAGAATTTCTTACTAATGCTGGACATTCCCATAGGATATGGTCGAAAGTGGCTCTGGTGGCACAGTACTGGCATAGATTAGAACTATAGACGTCAGGATATATGTGGTGCATGATGACAGGGTCCGTGTATGTGCGTGTTTGTAGCTGTCGCCACTGAACGGACTGGGCCCGATTTAGCTTGGATGTCTTCCGTACACTCCAAATTTTTTGCGGCCGGCTCGAATAGCTTCCTCTCTAAAACATAGTGAAGGGCCGCCGCATTCTCAATCAGGCCTGTTGTTGAAACTTTACAATCCAGCTGTGAAGTATATAGAACGCCTTCGGTCACTGCACTGGTTGTTCAGTGTTAACCTCTTCACCACCAGGTACCGTCACATAGCCGGCCGCTAAGATTCCCAATAACGGAAATGGTAACCATGGCGCATAAGATATTTACACCTTGACGGTAACCCAACAAATCTTAAACGCGCAGGCGGCACTGAGACTCGGTAACGGCTAACTCACGTTTGGTTTTGTCTACTTTGTTTTTTTTTGTTTTACTGTACTTCCATCTGCAGTTTTGGAAAGGAACCAAGATCGCCAGAACCAAAGCCTCCGACATAAAGAGACATTTCGTGACCTTTCGGCAAGGTGAAAGGAGTATGCGCCATGGCATCGTGAATGAAGGCAGATTTGCATTCTACTTGTACATCGTGACTGCATTGACTACATTTGCGTCTGACTTTAGGCCCATTCATCCCAGACAACGATTGTGTAGATGAAATTGAAACACAAAGTGCTCAGGGAAACGGCGGCGCAGCAGTGAGACGTCGGAATCAGCTAAACGTCATGTTTGGAGAGGGAGTAAAGCTCGAAAGACACGAACTGCCGACTTGTGAGGACGAGTGTGAACATCAGTCGCTATGAGCAGCGTCTCGTTCACCAGTCGTCAGTGGGAGCGTTACGCGGGAAGACAGACTACAAAATAGATACATCTACTGCAGTATAATCTCGTTCTAATGAAGTAGCCCCGAGACCACAGGTTAGTTTGTTACAGCCGATATTCCTTGTAAATGTAGAGATCGGCTCTAACGAATTGGCGGTCTAGCTCCCGCGATAATCCTACACACAAAAACGCATGTTCTGCTCAGAAGGCAGTTTTCCACGGTGTCGATAAGGTCCCTAGATGAAACAAGTTTCCAAGGTAGCGACACCTTTCCCTTTCCTCCTCGCCTATGTTTCTGGAACACCGCCTATAAGGTTCAAAACTTTCACCAAAAATCAAATGTTTGGGTTCAGTTACTACGGTGAATAGATATAACTGAAACAAAAAGGAACGGAATGAGTCGTAGAATAAACGGTTACCTTTATGAACATAAACGGTACAACACAACAGCGAGCGGGATGTGCGTTACTGAACTGGCAACGTTGTGCAGTTCTATATTTTACACCACTAGCCATAGCGTCTTGCATCGTACATTGTAGTTCTTCCAGTTATAACTAGTCCAGTTCTTCTAATGTGTTTAGTTCGTGTTGTAATACAGTGAACGCTTTTCTTGCTGGATCCTGTCAGTGATCACAGGGCGTGACGTTGTGACGAGCGATTACAGCCGGGTTGTGCACACGCAAGGAAAAACCACTGCCAGACTGGTACGAACGCTTGACTAGCAGCACTGCGATGACGTTTGTTTTTTTCATGTGCTCATTTTGATAATCGCGATGCCAGGTGATTCTGGTACGGTGCGTGGATCTTCCTGAAAACTGAGTGTTGTACTGGTGAGGTGTCCCGAAGCAGCATGTTTCGGCTCATTTATGTCGCGTTCTGGTCAGCTGGTCAAGCGTGAAATGTTCTTGAAGGTGCGTTAATTACATGCTCCAGCTGCTCTGTATACATGCATACACACTAGTATTTGTAACAACTGACATGCACTAGACGCGGATTAGACGCGCTCCTGGCGTTTCAGTAAAAACCGTCAAATAAACTGTCTTCGCAGATCCGCGTCGACGTATGTCGACGAGGTTGCACGAAAGCGTTCCCGTGAAATGTTCCATAGCTACACTTGACGGCGCGCTTCATTTCGGATAGCGCAAGGTAAGTTGAATGCGAAACCGTTTTCCGTTGTTTTACGGCAACCGAGCATGGTTGTAAAACTCGTATGTTGCATTGAACGAGCACCGCATAACAATCTTGGCCGACTTGGCACCAACTGAAGCGCTCCTCCTATTCAGTTAATGTCCTGGCTACGATTTCGTCTCAGGTCGCGGCGAGAATCCAGCTGCAGCCATATGCACATGCCTACTCGTTTTGAACATTTTGCATAATAATAAATAACACCATCAGGCACTTACTAGATCACGTGCAAGGAATGCACCAATTACAGGCGCGAATACACGGAGGGGTAAGTGAAAGAGTGAGGACGACGGCTCGAGAACAATGAGTGACGCTACCTTGGAAACTTGTTTCATCTAGGAACCTTAGGTGTCGATACACGAAAGCACCATCTCTACTTCAGCGGTTTCCTTCGTGCCGAGTTTATTCAAGAAGCTTCTCAGTCTTCTAGCCGTGTCCGCGGCATTCTCCCAACTCACTTCTGTCAAAATCGCCGCCCTTTTTATAACCGGGTTTTAAAAGCCAAACTTTTTATGTCACAACCAGACTTCAAACGCAAATGTGGTTCGGAATAGTATTTCAACGTTTATTCTGCTTTTTTTTTATGCTACATTTCATGTTTTAAGACCCACGCAAACCAAATGCTTAGACACAGCCAATGTTTAGGCAGCTCTCTCGTTTTCGATTCTCTTGTAAACATATGGGCAACGATGTAATTCACCGTAAACGATAATTCCCAAAGTTCACCGATTGATATGTGGGGTTTAACGTCCCAATGATTGATTGATTGATATGTGGTGTTTAACGTCCCAAAACCACGATATGATTATGAGAGACGCCGTAGAGGAGGGCTCCGGAAATTTAGACCACCTGGGGTTCTTTAACGTGCACCCAAATCTGAGCACACGGGCCTACAACATTTCCGCCTCCATCGGAAATGCAGCCGCCGCAGCCGGGATTCGAACCCGCGCCCTGCGGGTCAGCAGCCGAGTACCTTAGCCACTAGACCACCGCGGCGGGGCTAACGTCCCAATACCACCATTCGATTATGAGAGACGCCACATAGTGGAGGGCTCCAAAAATTTCGACCACCTGGGGTTCTTTAAAGTTCACACAAATCTAAGCACATGGGCCTACAACATTTCCGCCTGCATCGGAAATGCAGCGCCACAGCTGGTATTGAATCCCGCGACAAGCGGGTCAGCAGCCGAGTACCTTAGCCACTAGACCACCACAGCGGGGCTTAATTCCCAAAGTAATTGGTCGTTATAACGAGATTCAAGTGCACGAAAATGCAGAGACGGTATGTGCGCGTCAAAGAGAAGGTTTTCGCGCACGGAGTAGCGTCACCATTGATATCACCGTGCATGTAGGGGCATGCAACTCACATGCTGGTGTACAGGCTCTCGTATCCCCAGTTGTCCTCATGCTGGTCGTACATGCGGAGCGGTGTGGTACTCAGCGCCCTCTATTCAGATGGGGCGCACTCGGGTGGGGTTCGATGCGGCATCCCTCTCCTATCTCAATGGCACATCTGCTCCACGCCTGCACCTGAAAGATAGAGAGCAAAGAATGACAAATGTCAGTGCAGGTGTTCGGCGGGCATTCCACGAAAACCACCGTGTTGCATACTTTTCTTTGTTTTCTTGCTACAATGTCATCAAAGACATCTCCCTTCCACTTCATGTAACACATTATGGGGAATGTGACGACAACGACTGTTGAGCGAGTTCAATTAAATGCTCTCGACCAGATGTATTCTTGAGCTATAACCACCGATATACTCGAACACAACCACAGGCTGTCGAAGTGATTATCCGCTGTTATTGCGTTCAATCAGCCTTAATCAAATTATTGAGATTCTTTATAAAATTCACTGAGTTATTCATAGGCCGGAATAAGTGCAACAACACACTGATAACAAGGCTATAAGCAACGAGCCTCCAGTAAGACCAAGATTTTCGAAGAAAAAGAAGAACAATAATATAGAAAAGCTGACATATCCAGAGATATGAACCTGAACATGTAAAAAAAAATTGGCAGATCCAACGCGCAGTGGGAACCAATATTATGCGAAGAACGAATGAGTATGGTTGATATGCCACTTTGAAATCAGCAAAACATTACGAGGCGGAGGTAAATTATGCCGTAAATAACTTCTATGCCATGATTATCATGTTTGGACGTTTCAATTACCTTCACCATATATTCACGTCACCTAATACCAAATTTGGTACATGTGGAGCTAGCGAAACGGCCGCGAGTGCGCTATGATCGTAGCATGTGGTCACGTTTTACATGACACGCATGCCTTGATTATCATGTTTGAACGTGACATTTACCTTCGTTGTCTGTTCACGTAAGGTGATACCAAATTTGGTTTATGTGAAGCTAGTAAAACTGTCATGAGCGCTTCATGAGCGTGGTATTTTGTCATGTTTTTACGTCACACGCGTGTCATAATTATCATGTTAGCACCAGTTATATTCCTTCGCCATTCATTGGCGTCGCGTAACACCCAAATTTGGGATATGTAGAGCTAGCGAAACGGCCGTGAGCGCATCATGAGCGTGGCATTTAGTCATGTTGTTACGTGACACGCATCTCATGATTATCACGTTTGCATCAGTCACATGCCTTCGTCGCCCATTGACGCCCCGTACTACCAAATTTGGTATATGTGAAGCTAGCGAAACGGCGGCGAGAGCATCATGAATGGCGCAATACACCCCGACGTAACGTTGACGTGCGCGAACGCTTGGCGCAGGAACGCTACGCTAGCAATACACGAGCATTCTGTAGTCTTGACGCCAGGCGCGACCGGCGCGACCAGCTACCGAAATGCGAAATTTGGTTTATGTGACGCTATAGCGAAACGGCCGCGAGTGCATCATGAGCGTGGCATGTAATCATGTTGTTACATGACACGCATATCATGATTTTCATGTTAGGGCCTGTCGCTTGTGTTCGCCATGGAATCATGTCATACCATACCAGTTTTGCAACATGCCATGTGAACGAAACCACTGCAAGAGCTGCAGAACCATAAAATGTAAATCACGACATTCATTACATACATGTCATAATTTCATGTTATGACTAGTCAGTTATGCTCTTCATATAGTCATGTTATATCATACCAAATTTGGTGTCGATACACTTATCGAAACGGCCAGGAGAGCTAAAGTCGTACGCGGCTAGATAGATAGATAGATAGATAGATAGATAGATAGATAGATAGATAGATAGATAGATAGATAGATAGATAGATAGATAGATAGATAGATAGATAGATAGATAGATACGCTCAATGTTGCCGAAGTACGCTAAGAAATGCTTCGCATTTAAGAAGGACGTGGCACCAGCGACGCGAGAAATGAAATATATAAAACATTACCCGCCATACACATATGTACACAGCAAATTTAAAGTGAGATTTCGCTCGACATCTGAACGCGTCAGTGGGATATACAGTACACGCGGTGCAGTCATGCCGCGGCCTATAGCGCAACATGCCATGCTTTTACGCACCGTGCGACGTAGGACAGGGTCACCGCGCTCTGTCCTCAATTGCTGAGCCCATTTTAGTCCGCTACTGAGCCGTCTGGAAACGTTGTAATTACACATGCGATACTAAAATTTGGGTATTTACGTGTCGAAACCACGATTCGACTTTGAGGGCGGCTCCGCAAATTTTGACCAGCTGTCGTTCTTTAACGTGCACCAACAGCTCATAATACACGGGCATCTATGGTACCGTCTGCATCGAAATGCGACAGCTGCGGCCTGGCTGAAACCCGCAACCTTTGGGGTCAACAGCTAAGCACTGCAACCATAATACCACCACGGCGGACTACAGGCAAACAATAACAATAAATGCGATTAAAGGATTACACAAATAGAACGAAGAAAACTCCGGATGACACTAGATTAGCTCGCCGGGTGATCCACAAACTCGCTGCCGCTGCTATACGTGCTATTTTTTGTGGTTTGCGTGGTGGAAACATGAACGCCCATGACCGACGCAGGCGTTCGTATGAACGACTTGACCTTTACACTTTTAGGACGGCGGATGAGGGTATACGTGCGGCCGCAGGATTTTTAAATCTGAATGGGCCTCGCATGGCGTGCGCCCGCATGCATTATACAGACGAGCGATACACCGAGGACGTTTTACTGTGCTCACTGCTGTATAAGCAGCCGCATAAAGCGTTAACGGCATCGTGCTCGCTGAAACAGTCGCTCAAACGACGAAGGTCAGAAACGCATTTAAGCACGACTGTTTTACAAAAAAGCGTACATGTGAAGAGTGATGATTTCAGCGTTAATCACCTAATTTCACGCTTTCCGCGCATCATATCGTGAAGGCATAGCACGATATTGGATCATATCCGAGCATTAAAGACCAGATTTCGCGCTCTTCACCATATGTTAAATCAGCTGATCAACCTTGAAACATTACGCTGCATCGACATGTATACCTTTCAGGAATTAAGTTGGGCGCTATTCGCACTGTAGATGTTTGTGGTAGTATCTCATAAGTCATAACACCTATCGGGGGTAAATATGCAGTGAGCCTCGATTCGCAAGGGGGCAACACTCTCGTGTGCCATTTTGAAGGTCCGTTTGCACGCGCGTCTTCCTCTCCATGCTTCGGCATGCAAGAGGTGTTCCGGTGGTCTCGAGAAAGTACTGATCTCGAACAAAGTGCATGGAGCGAGTTTTTTGCGAGTGTGGTAGACCTCAGAAATGGCGACCCCCGACCCTAGCGATCTTCGCCGATGACGTCAAGTGCCAACGAAAATATGCCCCCGCGGTGGCTGCTTCTTGAGACAAGTCTGCCTCGGGCCTGAGGCAGGGCCACACACGGGGCATCCCTTTGGCTTCAGCAAAGAAACGACGCTGGCTGAAGGTTGGTGGAAAGGAAAAGTCCTGGAGTGGTGGTTCATCCGGCGCAACAAATCGGCGTGCAACAACAGTCGTGGTTCCCAACGGAACACTTGCAGTGGACTTTGCGGCCACTGCTCATTTGGTATCAATGTATGCAGAGCATGCCGCAAGACCATGCAGGGAGTGAAATGTCGCGCAATTTCGTTATATATTTTCAAGTGTTTTTTGTCAAGTCTGAGTCTTAGAATCGTGAACTTTCCCGGCTTCTGAAACATTTGTGCAAGTATATTTATACCAGTACACGCGTGATTTCAATATCAATAAGTCAATGCTCGCTCCATCAGGCCTATAGTCGTCGACGGATCAACCCTTTCCGGTGTGGCAGTATGATCTTTAACACAAATTACTTGTCAATTCACGTGGCCACATTTTATCGTTTTCACGTTTTCTTCTTGCCCTTCATTGTTGTACACGTGACAGTCGTTGTTGCCTTTTTAGCAATAAAACAGTAGCTCTGCTAAGCACAAAAGTAAAGGTCCGATTACAAGCATCCATGAGAATGACCAGCGAGTAAAATAATAATATCTGAGGTTTCGCGGCCCATAACCGCGATCCGATTGTAAGAGACGCCGTGGTGGAGGGCTCCAGGAATTCTGACCACCTGGCATTCATTAACGTGCACTCACATCACACGGTACACGGTCTCTCTACCGTTTTGCCTACACTCAGCGAGGAAAAAGTTAGTAAAAAGGACGGCGCATTGAGAAAGAAAGCAAGCGAGAAAGAAAGACACACATGCCGCGCTTCGCCTATATACTGTAATTTTCCCAACGGTAACATTCCTAATTTTTTTGCTATAGCTTCAGTCTTATAATCCACCTATGTCATTTCATCATGGCGCCCTACGAAGCCTGCAGTACTGCAGCGCTCCACCAATAAATATAAAAGAAATGAAACACGTCGACTTTCGAGGCGAGTCCTTCGAGGCTTACGAGGAACTTGCGGTAACAAATTACTCCCCGCCAATCGATGGCCCCGCCGATAGAACTTTCGCGAAAGCCATTTTGTGTTTCCGCTGAAGGACACAACCGCGGTAGTTAATTTCGAATAAATCGAACGCCTTCCTTTACCCGTGCGACTGAAAACACGCAATCAACTTGCAACGTCTTCAGCACCGCTGACGCGCCAGAAGTGTAAAATAATAGATTACTCCCCCTAGCTGTATAAATAAGATAGTACAAGGCGCAGACGGTGTCCCTGTAAGCACACACTTACGCACTAACCATCAACTCGGCGGGAAAATACAAAGAAAAAAAAAGCGGTCGCATTGCGGGTTCCCGCAGAAGCAATCAGCCAAATGCGCGGATTCAGACGAGCACCTCGTTTAAAGCTCATTTCCAGCCACTCGCGGCCAGAGCCGCAGTGAGAAATTCGAGTCATTTAGGGATGAAAAGAAATAAAATATAGCAAGAAAAGAAATTTGATAATACTGTACTTGGCAGGCGGAATGGAAAGAAGGCGAAATGAATGGGACCACAGTTTCAATCAGCCGCTACATCTACGCGACGTCGCATCTTAATGCAAAAATTCAAGATGTCATTTCGTCGTCCAGTGCGTTATTCCGCAAAATAGTCGGCTCAAATTTCCAGCGTTTCTTCCTT